AATTTAGTTATTGTAAAATATGGGTGGCTTCAGATTGGAAGAATCGAGAAGGGATTCATCAACTTTCAAGCACAATCTGTTAAAGAATGCCCTATATGTGACGTTAAACATGATAAGGATCAACTCTATGGATTCATTCGAAAAAATGGGCATTTTATACTTAAGTGCTATTGACAAAAACAATATAAGCCAGATCATAAGGGATTAAGCTTTGAAAAGGTATCAGATAAAGTCGAATCAGAAGTGAAACCCAAGAAGTGGGGATTGATTGAAAGATTACCCAATGCTGTAAAACATCCATGTCCACTTGCAGAATTATCTGGAAAAAATATAAATGTCAGGGAAATGGAAGATGCTCCAGAAGCTTATCCCAATTTCTTGAGTGAGGAACCCACTACATCTCTTATCTGATCACCTGTAATGACAGGAAAAACAAAAGCTTTAAGAATTATTCTCAATTCCTTAGCCAAAGAAGGGAGCAGACTGCCGTGTTTTGTTTGGGTTTCATATCGTAAGACTCTCAGTAATGAGACTAAAGCTAAAGTTGATATACTACAAAATGCAGGATTGCGTGTATGCAATTATCAAGAAGTCGACGGAGATTTAGCTATATGTAATTGGGATGTTATTATTGTTCAGGCTGAGAGTACACACCGTCTTTCTCTTTATGGAGGTCGTTCTTACATAATTATCTTGGATGAAGCAAATGCTATTATGTGCCAAATGAATAGTGGAGTTCATGCCCGAGAATCTGAAAATGCCATGCGGGATTTGTTGAAGTCAGCTGTCCATGTTCTAGCCATGGATGCTTTTGCAAATGAATCTACTTTAAACTTCTTAAGACAATATCAAGGTGAAGATATACGAGTTTTTGATAATAAGTATCAGCCACATAAAGGTAAGTCTGTAAAAATTCTTTATGACCCGGATAAAGGATCAGAAGCTATACATAAAGGTCTTAAGTTGCTTCAAGAAGGTAAGCGTGTTGCCTTTTCAGTTACCTCATGTAAAAAAGCTAGAGCTATAGCTGTTCAAGCTTCTAAGTTATTAAAACCAGATGGCTCACACGTTTTATCACAAGTTTATTTTGGTCAAATGGATGGAAAACAGCATCAAGAAGACTTTGCCAATATCAATGCAACTTGGAGTGCTCTTGATTGTGTGATTTATACGAGTACTGTGGAAGCTGGAGTTTCCTTTGAAATTTCCAATCATTTTGATGCAGTTATAGGAATAAGCAATATTAATACAGGAGTACATGCTGAAGCTTTTGCACAAATGTTTTATCAAGTACGTGATTGTCCACATCATACTATTTCCCTTTATAATAGTAAAAAAACTGGCATCTTCAAAGAACCGAATCGTGATCTCATTCATGCTGAACTTTCTGCCTTAAGACCTGGAGACTTGCCAACTGCTATAAAAGGTCATTGTAAATGGAACAAAATTGCTGATTGCTATATTCTTGACTTGTCACCAGCAGTAGAAATGTATATTGAGGTTGAATATCAGAGACGTTTATCGACCAAATACTTTCCTGAAATTCTATGTAGTCTCATTGCTAGTACTGGCGCAACGCTTGAATTAATTTTAGCAGAAGATACCGAAAAAGTTAACAGGAATGAAGTTTCTCATACTATTAAGAATATTGAGAAAAAAATTAAAGGTGAAGATGCGGAATCAATAGCCAATGCTCCAGATATTAATTCTGATGAAGCTGAGATTCTTAAACAAAATCCTATACGTTCTTTTACTGATAACTTGACTTTACAACGACATTATCTGTGGAAAATATATGCTTCAGGTGATATCAGAGGTATAAATGATATTTGGAATTGGGGTATGAATAATGATGATTGGGTTAAGCTTTGTGATATAGATTTCGTGAAAAGATATAATAATCCTGAACCTTTACAACATTTTAGGAGGCTGGCATATTTCAGAAGACAAGGTTCTAACGCAATAAATTCTATAGAAAATCTAAAAATCAAAGAAGAAATGCAATGGGAAGATTCACATGAATCTATGGATCCGTCCTCAGTTGATTTACATAAATTTTATTCAGCAAAGCAGTGGGAAGCAGTACATAATCTTATCCAATCGATAGGCTTCAGTGATATAGATGACACAAACATTCTTTCTGGTGATGATGTAGCTAAGACTTTTGAGCAATCACGGGAAAAAATCGTTGAAATTCGAGAAAATGCATTATTGCTCTTTAACTTTAAAACCAGAGCTAAAGGAATACCCGATCTTAATGCTACAATAAAATTTATTAATGCAATATTGAGTAATTGGTGCGGTTATACTATCAGGAGTGGTACAAACCGTGTAGGTTCAAGAACTAATAGGGTATGGAAGAAAACTTATTGGATTCATCACAAACCATATGGTGGGGCTGGTTTTGTAACTCAAGAAGAAATAACAGCTATAAAGGTGAATAATTCTAAATATTTCCCTATAGGTCCAATTCTTCCACTATATAAACCAGAATTGATTGATGAAACTCAGGATCTTTTCGATTCTATACCTATTACGAATATTTCAGAATCCTGCAATGAGGCTTGTGAAGAAAGTTCTTATAATAATGTAGTTGAGAAATCCGTGACAAATTCGCCACAATTCCCAATTATTACTGAAGCTAAGAAAGATATATCTGAACCCTCCTTATCCATGAAGTGTCTACCTCCAGAAATTTCTTTATCTTCAGAACTTCTTATCAAAAGCGAATCTGATATAGATACCCTTATCCTTCTTTTACAGCAAAAATATCAAATGTCTCAAGAAAAATTAGATCAATGGAGAAGAAAGATTGCCTTTGAATTTCGGGATAATACCAGTTACTGGAAAAAAGAGCGCGAAAGCATGAATGAAGCTGAGTTCTTGGAATATAAACGAAACTTTGAAACTAAATTGGGTATTCCTACTACTCCGCACAAAAGAGAATTGAAAAATAAATCTTTAGCTCTTATCGAATATATATAACCTAGCTAAATAGTAATTTCTGAAGCAGAGAAATTGCTACGTCCGGCTAGTTATTCATCTCAGGTAAGGGGACTTTTGTTGCCTCTTACAAATAAATGCGGGAAAAAATTCAAATAAAAAATTAATACTTCGATACCTAGATCATATAAGGAGTTTTCAAAGCGGGTCCTGGTCATCCAATTCACATGTCCGCCTATTGGAATATGTAAGTGCTTCTGATATATAAGGTACGTATTCGATAACCATTTTTGTGTTGCACGACGAACCATTACTGAAATTCGGAATATAAGATTGCATACAGTAGATAAAAATCGGTGTCCGGTCAAGGTATAATTATTATAGAAAGCGTAGTTATACTTTGGATAGACACAAAAAGTATACATAATTCGAAAAAAATCAGTGTCCAGTCAAGGTATAATTATGTGTCATAGACACTAACTCCGTTATTAGAGAAAGGGTGGTTAGATACAATGTATTCTATTTTGATTACATAATTCGAAGAAAAAACGGTGTCTACCCAAGGTAAAATTATTACAGATATATATATTATAAAAAATTATGCTTTGGATGGACACGAAATAAACGATAACAATTCGGCACTGCGTGCCTCATTCTAAGATAACATAATAGATAACGATTCGGCACTACGTGCCTCATCCTTGGGTTACAAATAGGATAACGATTCGGCACTACGTGCCTCATTCTAAGATAACATAATAGATAACGATTCGGCACTACGTGCCTCATCCTCGGGTTACCAAATACGATAACGATTCGGCACTACGTGCCTCATCTTTGACGAGGCAAATGCAAAACGTTCGTCACTCAAATGACGTGGCAAACACAAAACTCACGTCACTCGAATGACGAGGCAAACGCAAAACCCACGTCACAAAAATAGAAATCAAACGTCAATGCACCTACATATTTTGATGACTCTCAGATGACGAGGCAAATGCAAATCACACGTCACAGCTAATAAGTAGGTAACAGTCTAATCATAAGTAGGTAACAGTCTAATCATAAGTAGGTAACAGTCTAACGTAAGTAGGTCGCAATATATATATATTGCGACCTACTAAAGAGTTAAAAATCAAAATAATAATAATTCATATTTTATGAATATAAATAAAAGAAGGTTGTATAGAAATAAATATTTCCTTGAGGAAATTAATTCTAAATTAGTTCGATGTATTTGTGGCAAATCAGTTAAATTGGATAGAGAATATAGAGAAAGGAATTTAATAAGTCATAGTCAACGTGGTAAATGTGGTGTTGTTTCTGACAAACAATTAAGTATAAAATCTTTTTTTAATCAAAGCACTATTTTTGATGGCATTGGTTCTACCAGAGTTGCTTGTTGTGGTTTATGTGATGAAAAATATAAACTATATGTTATGAATAGTCCTGCAGAATTTGGAGGATCTATTCGACCAGAAACACTTGCTAAACAATTATTTAATGAAAAATTTAAAGAAAATTTCTCGTGGAAAAGATTATCTAAAGCAGAACATGACGAATTGATTAATAATTTGAGATGTCATGCTAAATGGATATTGGATAAAATTTCTTTATGTGTTAGGAGTTTGAATTGTAAAAATTTTACAATGAATAAATCTGAAACTTGTAATAATTGTGAGATTTTACGTAGATGTAATGCCTTAAATAAAGCAATCAATAAGGTGAACATTAATCTAACTGATTTAATTGATTTTTTAATTATTTAACTTATCATATTTGTTTATTTTAATAATAGAAACGTGCAGAAAATAATAACATAAAATTCGTACCAAAACATTATTATATAAATCATCTGCTAAAAAAATTACTTATTAATAGCAATTTGAAATCAATATGGGCAGCAGCAGATGATGGTGAAAGTCATAAGATTTGGTTCCAATTAGCAGAATTGGGAAAGAAAGGAGCTTTCAGCAATAATAAAACCTTTAAAGAATTAGCAGAATTAATGGTACAA